CCTTTGGATTCTCCTGGAACTGGAGTTAAGGACGGTTCGTAGCTGCCATGTGGGTGCTGGGCACTGAACCCGGGTCCTCTGCGAGAGCAGTCAGTGCTCTTAACCACTGAGCCATCTCTCCAGCCCCCTAAATTTTTTTAATTTTATGTTTGAGTATTTTGCCTGCATGTATGTAAGTGCACCTATGTTGTACAGTGCTTGGAGAGGTCAGAAGAGGGCATTGGATCCCCTGGAACTAGAATTAAGAACTGTTGTTAATTGCCATGCAATAGCACATGGTTATAATTTCAGTGCTGGGGAGTCAGAGACAGGTGGATCCTAGAGACTTGCTGAGGGCCCGTGAAAAGACCCTGTCTCAAAGTCAAGGTAGTAACAGCACTTCAGCTTAACCTCTCACCTCCACACACAGACACAAAGTTCTGTGAACTGCTATTAGTGGATATCGCCTTTTACTGAGAAATTTAGGAAGTTATTTTAGAGATACCTTAAGGACTGTGTATAGCATAGAGCATATGCTCCAGGTAACTAACAACGATGTCACTTGTCCTTTAGAATAAGTGGTAGAAATGTACTGAAAAGGTACGTAGGGTCCCCTTTTGTGGAATGTTTCCCTGAATGCAAATTAACATGTGATATGATTGTTGATAATATTATTTTTATTTATTTATGAGACAGGGTCTCATCCCAGGCCAACCTTGAACTCGCTATATAGCTGAGGATGACTTTGAACTTCTGATCCACCTGCCCCAGCCTCCCAAATGCTGGGATTGTAGGTGTGAGCCACCACACTTGGTTTATTATCTTATATTGGAGTATGTGCAAGTGTTACTGTATGTGTTACTGCTTCATATGCATTATTTTACATAATCTAAGAATCCTATGAAAAGGTACTGTTATTTCCATTTAACAGGTAAAGTTCACTGGGTGGAGTCATTTGTTGACAATTTTGTGATAAATAAGCTGACTTTCAGGTCTATCTGAATCCAGAGTTCCAGAATCTTCAGTACCATATTAGGATAAGCTCTAACCTCATTGCCAGTTATTATTGTGACTTTTTCGTTGCATCAAAATATGAAGGTAAAATAGAAAAGTATCATTTGTCACCCATCATTCTGAAGTGTGGTGTTTTTCTTTATATACTCTGGCTTTAGAAAGATTTACTAAAAACCTGTTAGAAAGAACCACAGTATTATCTGGAGAGCTAGCTCAGTGGTTAAGAGCACTAGCTGCTCTTGCAAAGGACCCAGGTTCAGTTCCTAGCACACACGTATGGCTAACAACCATCCATAACCCCAGTGCCAGGGGATCCAACAATCTCTTCTGGCCTTTTCAGGCATTGATTGTACACACATGGTACACTTACATGCAGACAAAACACACATAAAACAAAAATAATTTTTCAAAAAAAAGGTAAGAAGAACCACCACAATGTTATCTGGAGAGGGTGCAGTGCTGAGGATTAAACCCTGGGCCTTGGGCATGCTAAAAATCTACCCAGATCTTCAACCCAAGCTGTTTAAATTCCTTCAGCGCTAGTGGTTTGAAGTAATCATCTTATTGTAAAGCACAAAATAGTTATCAATATTCTAATGAATTTATAGTTTTATTTAATTGGTAGTCACAATAATTAAAACAAAAGTGATTGACCTACTGTTATTTTCCAGCCCAATTTTACTAGAATAAATGCTATACCAGCAGTGTAGCACTGCTTATAAACAGGTGTTTATATGGTCCTAAGCTCTTGTTTTCCCCTTCTCAGGCGTTTGTAAAATGTATGAAGAACATCTGAAGAGAATGAATCCCAACAGTCCCTCCATCACGTATGATATCAGTCAGTTGTTTGATTTTATCGATGATCTGGCAGATCTCAGCTGTCTTGTGTAAGTATCAGTCACTATATCTTTTATTTTGTATTTTTCTATTATCTGGCTATTTGAGGTGATTTAAGGTATTGTGAGTTTCTTTGTACCTGATCTTTGGATCTTAGATACTATCTAGTTACTAGTATTTCACTTAGAGACAGATCATAAATTAACAACGGAAAGCCAAAAGACATAGGAAAATCCTAAACTTTGCTAATTGAAAGTTACTGTGGAGAGAAGATAGGCTAATTAAAAAGCTCCATGCCTTGATTCTTTGTTCTCTATAGTTAATAGTCTTTTGGAGGTTTTCCCAACCATTTTAGAGTCTTTTTCCTAAATTGATTTCCAATTAAAACTAAAATTACTTTCTTTTCGTGACATTTAAAAATTTAAATATGGAGCTTGAGAGATGGTTCAGCAGTTAAGAGCATTGGCAGTTCTTGGAGAAGTCCTGGTTTCAAATCCCAGCACCCACATGGTGGCTAACAACCTTCTGTAACTCCAGGGAATCCAACCTCCTCTTCTGACCTCCACCGACATTGCATAACATGGTTGTACTTACCTACATGTAGACAAACACTCAGACACATAAAATAAAAATAATAAAATATTTTTTAAAACAAGTATATGTAGGATTTAATTTTAGTTCTAGCTTGTATAAACATGTATTTTTAGCTTTTATGGTGAGGTTTTAAATTCTAACATACTTATAATTTGTATTTAAAAGTGCTTATTGCCACTGCTGCTAAGGAACATGAAGTATTACAAATTGGCTTAATCATTGTGAACGAGAAACTAAGTATGAATAGAGCTCATATTGCAGAAAGTGAGGTGGCATTCAGTCATCAGGTGCTTCAATACTGGTGCATGTCGGTTCTGAGCCAGAACTTGAGGGAACAGTGATAAAAATATACAGGTCCACCTCCCAGGCACCTTCTAAATCACCACTGCAGTCAGCCTGGAATCTGGCTGTACCTTGTTCTCTCCCCACAGATTCCTGACAAAAACAAGCATTCTCTGGGGATGTTGAGTTCTGTTTCTGTACTTCATTGTATCTCAGTTATAGCTGTATTACTTTCCTTGCTCAAAACATCCAAGTTGATCTAGTCCAAGTCTCTAAATGTGTTAATAAAGTTATTATAATTATAAATCTTAAGTTCCAGTGGAAACATCTTGTTAGTTTCTAAGTGCAAGTATGAAAATTTCCCAATACTAAAATATCTAGGACAAATAGAAACCCAGAATTTCATCAGATATGTAGGGTTTCAAGATTCCGAAATAGATACTTCAAGTTTTTACATGATATATCAGAATTTTTTGAGTTTTTAAAGATATTATTTCAGATTATATCTCTAATATAAACAAGAGAAAAACAGTCTTTTAAGAAATAATGCTTCAAATAAAAGTGCATAGGTGGCATGTGTTATACAACCAATTTCTAGATGCTGGTAAAAGAGCAGTGAACAAGCCGGGCATGGTGGCGCACGCTTTTAATCCCAGCACTTGGGAGGCAGAGGCAGGCGGATCTTTGTGAGTTCGAGGCCAGCCTGGTCTACATAGCGAGTTCCAGGCCAGCTGGGGCTACAGGGAGACCCTGTCTCAAAAAGACAAAAAGACAAAAAAAAAAAAGAGCAGTGAACAAAAAGTTTTCTGTTTTTAAATTCTGAACAGTAAAGACATTCATTATTCGTGATTTCAATTAGTTGCAGTTAGAAACTGGACTCAAAAGATTGCTGAAGTTGGAGTATTAGTAAGTAATGATCAGAGAATGAGATGCTCAGAATTGGAAAATTAAAGTTGCTGGAGAGATGACCCATGGGACCTGGTCAAGGAGGGACAAGAGATGAGAACTTCGGACGAGTTGGGCTGGAGGAGCCCAGAAACCTAGGTATCCACAGAATCATTTTCTGAATAGAATACAGCTGTCGGTGATTTTTTTTTTTTCTTTTCTTTTTTTTAATGTGTATGAGTGTATTGCCTGCATGTCTAAGACATCAGGTGTATGATCCTGATGCTTTGTGGTGTTCATTCCAACAAACAGGAAGTAACTTAATGAAGATCATGTTTTGTTCACCCTGGAAGGCTCTGAGCTAGTTGGAGTTTCCAAGTGAAGCATATCAAACGTGATTTAAATCTTGGCTCTACCCTTCAGGTAGCTCCTTTGAGCAGTTTAACTCAACATTTATTGCCAAACTTGTTTGCTTATTTATAAATTTAGAGAAATCTGGGACTGGAGAGATGGCTCAGTCAGCCGTTAAGAGCACTAGCTGCTCTTGCATTTTCATCTGCAGTTTTTGTAATGAGCCAGACAACTTGGTATCAGCAAAGATATTGCCCTCTTCACTTCTCAGTCCCTAGATTCGGTTTTTCTGTGCACCTGTATTCACTGACCATGACAATAGGCTGTCAGATTCATCTGTGCCAACAGTTAGAAATTTTATTTGTTCTTAACATTTAATTGTCCCATTTCAAGTGCCAGTTGACAACCATCAACAAACAACACACAGGTTTCCACAAGGAAGGCTATTTCATGAGTTGGAAAATAAAGACTCTCACCCACATGATAGTTTTGAGGCATTCTGTTCCTTTTTCAGTGTTAATATAATATTATAGTGTATTCTGTACTTCAAAGTAGACTGGATTAGTACTTAATTAGGATGCATTGGGATAGTCCAAGAAAAATGTTCATTTACAATATTTCTCATAAACAAAAAGGACTAGTAAAGCTGGGTGTGGTGGCTCAGGCCTTTAAGGCAGAGGCAGGCAGATCTCTGAGATCAAGGCCAGCCTGGTCTACGTAGTGAGTTCCAGACCCTGTCTCAAAAAGCCAAAAAAAAAAGGGACTAGTAAAGAATCAAATGTTTGTTTCTATTTTATTAGGCACTTGATAAAATGGAAAGCCTGTATGTATACTTCTAATAAACAACCTTCTGACTTTAGCATTCAGAGGAAAAATAAGTTCATTATATACCACATTACTTCTTTGGAGTTTCCATTACCAGAACTTGGGACTGGATCTGGTGGTGCAGGCTTGTAATCCCAGCCACTTGGGAGGCTGAGGCAGGAGGATCCATAGTTCAGCCTGTAGAACTTTGTAAGACTGTCTCAAAAAGTAAAAAGAGGGCTGAGGGCTGAGGTAGAGTGCTTGCCTAGTAGAGCTTTAGGTTCAATCCCCAGTACCTTAAAACAGCAAAAAAAAAAAAAAAAAAAGGTGTAGATTTCTAGCTTAGTGCTTAAAAATGAAAGTTTTAGTGCCAGAAGTCTTATAGCTCTACTATACAACTCATGAAAAGACTTTAATGGTCTGAACAAAAAATACCACCCAGTATTACTTAGTTGTTAAATTGCTTCACTTTAAGTCTTGGTTTCCTCGGAGAGATGGCTCAGCAGTTAGGAGCACTGGCTGCACTTGCAGGGTACCCAGGTTCAGTTTCTGGCATCTACATGATATTTAACAAGCATCTGTGACTCTTATTCCAGGGAATCCAATGCCCTCTTTTGGCCTTCATGGGCACTGCATGCATGTGATATACATACATGCATACATACATACATACATACATGCACACATGCAAAACACTCATACACAAAATTTTTTTTTTCCAAATTAAAATTGTCAGGCATGATAGCACATACCTTTAATCCTAGCACTCAGGAGGCAGAGGCAGGCATGTTTCTTGAGTTAAAGGCCAGTCACCACTACATAGTAGGTAATTATGTCTACTTATATTGCATCTATTTACAGGGTTATAAAAAGATGAATTAATTCAGATAAGCACTTAAGTCATACTTGGTAGCAACTTCAAAAGTACTAAGTATTGGGGCTGGAGAGATGTCTCAGCGGTTAAGAACACTCACTGTTCTTGCAGAAGACCCGGGTTTGAATCCCAGCATCCACATGGCAGCTAACAACTGTCCATAACTCCAGTTCCAAGGTATCTGACAGCCTCTTCTGTCCTCCTTGGGCATTGCACAACGCGGGTGCACTTGCCTACATGCAGGCAATACATGCATGCACATAAAATAATAAATAAAAGTTTTTTTAAAGGACTTAGTATCATTTGTCCATGTGTTTGCCTGTCTTTCTGAGACAGGGTCTCCCTATAGCCTCAGCTAGCCTGGAACTCGCTGTGTAGACCAGGCTAGGCTCAAACTCAACAGAGATCCACCTGCCTCTGCCTCCAAGTGCTGGGATTAAAGCATGCAAGTTTCCCTTTTTATATTATAGTTTTTGTATATATTCCTTCACCAGCTATATTTCAGTTTTAGACCAGTTAGGTTTCTTCAAGTCCTGTAATGATGCATTGACTAACTGAGTGTTCTGTGCTGTAGGCTTGAAAACCTTCACTACCAGTAGAGTTCTGTGGGTGCTGGTCTTCTCAGCCTTCTGAAAAAAGTTCTTTGAAGCTTGCTCTGTTCTGATAATTTTCCTCCATTATAGATGTTTGGCATTTATTTTAAAGAGCAAATCCTAAAATATGAGTTCCTTAAAAATTCACAAGAAATCTTTGTTGAAATAACATTCTTTTAGAGATTTCTTGGTTGATTCAGAATAAATTTAGCAAACAAAGCTTATACTAGTGCTTTGTTTTGTTTTCTAATCACTAAAGGGACTATAAAAATAGAAGCTACGTGGGAGAAAGAACACATGGTTTCTGGTCAAACTCTGGAGAAATAGATGAATAACATACTGAGTGCTTAAGAGCTCCAGGCCTTGGTTTCTTTTTCCACTTTAAGTTTTCACCAGGTGGTCTAAGTTTGTATTTGTTGAAATCAACAGCTGTGTGAGCAGCTTTGTCAACTCTGATTAACTTCACATGTGAAAATATGGATATTGATGCCATCACTGGCCAGTTAGAATACAGGGCTTTAAACATGACAAATTGCCCACTGTAATTTTCCTTATTGACTCTCTCCTCAGTTACCGAGCTGATACCCAGACATACCAGCCTTACAACAAAGACTGGATCAAAGAGAAGATCTACGTGCTCCTGCGTCGGCAGGCCCAACAGGCTGGGAAATAATTGTGCTGGAAGCATTAGGGGCTGGGGGTGGGCTTGGAACAGGTGTGTACAGCGTGCTGTAGTGAAAGTTTTGTATTATAGTAATCCTGTTTCCATTTTGTTACACTCTAGCCAAGATTGAATGTGTCACAGGAAACATGGGGGGCCTTTTCAATCTCAAACTCCATTGCCCCTTTGTTCTTTTTCTTTCTCTTTCTCTCTTTTTTTACTTACACATTTTTATGATGATTCAGATAGAAATTGTTCTTTGTCAGTTAAAGTTGGTTCTGGTCCTTGAAACTGTTCATATCTGCTTTGTTACATCAACAGTACTAACCCTTCAAGGTGGGGTGGGGGGTGGTGACTCAGTTTTGTTATGTCCTCTGGGTAAAGTCTAATGAAGAATAAATAAATGTTCTTTAGTTAAAAAAAATATAGGATTCTGTTAAAATTGGTTAAGAATTTACTTTGAGACAGTGTTTAACAACTTTATGTTTTAAGTATGAATTTATTGCTACCACATTTTAAAAGAATTCATTTGAGTAAAATCTCCTATATAAAAATAAGTATGTTGCTCTTACAGAGGACCTGGGTTCTTTTTCCAGCACCCACATGGCAGCTCACAACTGTCCATAACTCCAGTTCCAGGGGATCTGATGCCCTCTTCTGACCTCTGCAGGCATTGTGCAACATGGGTGCACTTACATACATGCAGGCAATACACTCATACACGTTAAAAGACAAGAATTTGAAGTTTATATATTTGAACTGATTTTGCTGTAATTATATGAAGCTAGTAAGCTTTTACTTCATTTTCCCAACAATTAGTAAATCTCAATTACAGCTCTAATATTTGTATCTACTATTGGTACAAACATATTCTTCTAGACTTAATAGGAATATGTCTCATCACAAGTTGAAAATATTGTAAGTCCAAAAGTATTTAATACCCTTAACCTAAAGAGCACTGTAGCTTTGCCTGACTGACATGGCTGGCTGGCTGCCTGTGGCCCACTGCAGCTTCCCAGAATTGGAGGATATTACACTATATACTACCCACTTGGGAAAAGAACATAATTCAAAATATAAAAATACATCTCTTTCATGTCTTAGGTTGGGGACCATCTATAAGAGACTGGCAAAATAGCAGCAGGTTAATTGCTTTGACCAAGTACTACTGGGAGTCCTGGTGCCCTTCTCACATCCTTCAGCAGTGAATGCTGCTAATGGAAGCTATAAAGGTGAGGGAAAGCCCAGAGAAAAGAGTCTTGTTTCGAATACAGAGCAGTTGTGTTACAACTTTGTGTGCCTATACAGTCCTCTTACCCCTTCACCAGTAGTCGGCACCTTCTCATACCCTGGATTGACGGCTTTGTGAGAAAGCTCCTGACTTGCCTAATCCCCCGTCCCTGCTCCCACCTTCCATGTCAGAATTATGTTTCATGCAAAATTGAAATTGATTAATCTGTTTATTTCAGTGCTGGGCATGGAACCCAGGGCCTTGTACATTTAAGCCGGGTGTGGTGGCGCAAGCCTTTAATCCCAGCGCTTGGGAGGCAGAGGCAGACAGATCTCTGTAAGTTCAAGGTCAACCTGGTCTACATAGTGAATTCCAAGTCAGTTGGGGCAACAGGGAGACCCTGTACTTAGGTGTTGAAGTGTACCTGTGTCATGCAATGCCTGCGGAGCTCAGAAGAGGACATTGGATTCTCCTGGAACTGGAGTTAAAGATGGTTGGTTGTTAGCTGCCATGTGGGTGCTGGGAATCCAACCCAGGTCCTCTGCAAGAGTAGCCATTGCTCTTAACTGCTGATCCGTCGTCTCTCCAGCTCCTTTTGCACATTTTGATCAATCACTCTACACTGAGTCCCATCCCTAGATGCTCAATAGAAATGTCATCACTGTACCAAAGGATTATTAAAATTAGGGTACTTGGCCAGGCATGTTGGCACATGCCTTTAAGCCCCGCACTTGGGGGGCAGAGGCAGGTAGATCTCTGTGGGTTCGAGGATAACCTGGTCTATATAGTGAGTTCCAGGCCAGCTGGGGCTACAGGGAGACCCTGTCTCGAAAATACCAAAAAAAATTAAAATAGGGTACCTGGCAAAATTAACGGCAGTGACAATCACTAGGAATTAACCTGACTTTAAAATCTTAAATAGCTTCAGTAGTCAGATGGCCCTGTTTCTCACTGTCTGTTCTGCTGATGCAGGGTTGTTCTTTAAGTTTTATTTTTATTTTATGTGTATGTATGTATTGCCTGCATGTAAGTAAGTGCACCCATGTCGTACAATGCCCACAGAGGACAGAAGAGGCTGTCGGATCCCCCGGAACTGGAGTTACAGACAGTTGTTAGCTGCCATGTGGGTGCTGGGATTCGAACCTGGGTCTTCTGCAAGAACAGTCAGTGCTCTTAACCACTGAGCCATCTCTCCAGCCCCGATGCTAATGCAGTTTTATTTCTAACAATGTTGGTTTCACTTAAAGTATAATAGAGCAAATCTGGAGGGTATGTGAGCCATGCTTCACCATGTTCAGTGTCATGTAGGAGAGAATTGAACGTAGCCTTTTAGGGTGCTGGTGAGATGGTTCAGCAAGTTAAGGTCCTTGCTATGCAAGCCTGGAGACCTGAGTTGGATCCCTGTAACCCACATAAAGGTGAAAGGAACAAACCGATCCCACAGTTTTATCCACTTAACCAAACATTCAATAATTTTTTAATAT